CATAATATTTAATGCATTTTACATTCATTGTAATTAATTTTCAATGTATAGGATTATGTTTAAGTAGTTTCAGTAGTTATTTTACAAATTATATTAGCTGTGAGTAACTAAGGCTGGCTTATGATAATTCAAATTAGCTTTAAATATAATCTTTATGTAAAATACTCTTTATTTTAATATATGTTTTCTTTGCTATTCAAATATAATTCTATGAGATATGTGACAGATAAAAAATTGTGAACTCTGGATAATTATAGAATAAAATATAAAAAAATAAATAAATAAATAAATAATAATTATATTATGAATAATTTTTAAATAAAATATCTAAAATATAAATGAAATAATTAAGTACCAAAATAAATAAAATAGCAATAATTACTAGTAAACTGTTTTGTTTTGTGTTTTGTTATGGCTAGCTCAATAGGAAAATATTTCTCTATATATATTTATCTAATCGACAGTAGAGAAATATTTTATATTAAGCTAACTAAACGAATTTGCCAGGGTATTCACACGTCATTCATTAGCAATTAGAGCTCTTTTATTGCTTTATGGTTGCTGCTCGGCTGCTGAGCAACTTGATAATGCTTAATTTGCTGTTTAATTATTCATGGAATATTTTTGTGGCCACACTTGTTAGACACCCTCCCTCTCTCTCCATCTCTCGCTCTCTCTAATTACTGTTTTGTTTGTGTTATCGGCCCTGGCAGGCTACGGCCTTAAAGCGGCTTAACCCAGCTCAGTTACTGAGCCTCACATCACATTTCCTTGTTTACTTTTATTCACTTTTTCACTTTTTTTTTTTTTTTGGTTTTTGTTTTTAACAGCAAACACAATGATTATTTAGCATAGGCAACATCTTAATTTGGGCTGCATTCCTGTTGGTCTCATAGATACATATTAACTTTTACACATGTATGAATTTATGTATGGCTGTGCGTGTGTGTGTGTGCGAGTTACAAATGGACGAGCTGCGTGTTACGGTAAATGTCATGGAAGCCAAACACGTTCGAAACACATAAACAGCTTTTGGTACTGTTCGCTTCTTCCATTCCTTTTCTATCCTTTGCTGTCATTTGTTGTTGTCTGTTTGTTTTTTCTTTTGTTGGTTTGTTGTTGTTGTTGTTGTCCTGACCATGTTAAGTGAGCTGCCTCATAAATTGCGCATATCCCTCGCAGGAACTCCACAATCCACAACGTGTGAATAGATATTGTTGTGTGGGCCACAAGGTTAAACTATGGATTCAACTTTAAGTTAGAGCTAGAACTAGACAAATAATTTGCCAAGGCATTCAATTAGAGGGTTCAAGTTTCAGTTCGCAGACCTTTTGCACTCCATTTGAAGTTCTATATATTTTACTAAAATTCTCTATATATATATATATATATGCCCTCAAGCATGAGCATAAACAAGAAAATAGTTTTCAGAATATAAGAATAAAACTTAAGTCAGCGGATATTTTCTTGTAATCTTTTTATTTTTGTTTATTATCTGATATATTTTTATTTATAAAGTCTCAATTTATTTAAAAATGAAAAATATATATATTATTTACTATACTAGACGAACCCAATCGACTGATAAGTATTGACCAAGGTCATTGACTTTGATTGGGCAAACATTAATTTATTGTAAAGATATTATTAGACACTTTTGTAACCCAGCCCCATTAGAAGTGCGCTATTTTGCTTGAGTAAATCAGTAAATATAGATTACGTGAAGTGGTCTACGGCACATTGAGTATGATAAGCAGCACACTAATTACTCAATTTT